TAGTTATTGCAACCCTCAGGCTACAAAATGTTAGTGATATTACTGAAATGTACCGCACGGCGGACGGAATTTTGCCAGGCCTTTTGATTCTGAACACTTTTTCAATCAGAAATCAACCCAAACTGGAAAGCACCGGGCGGGCCCGTGCAGTCATGCCTTTTTGCATCGATTTGAAGCACTCAGATCATTAACTACATGAATGATTGTTGCTTTGCACACGTACCTTTTGCGGTCACTAGCATAAATCACCATAAATCTTGCATAAAATAAATGTACAACTTTCATCTAACGGCCGTTCTTTAAAAGTAACCTAGCTGTTCAGTGAGAAATTTTTCCTCCAAAACTTATACGTGCCCGTACGTAAAAGGCACGCATACCTCAAGGCTGAATTTGAAATACTTAAGTTGTACTTGGACAGGGAACATCCCCTAAAAATTTCAGCCTTCCAGCTTTTCTGCTTACCGAGTTAGCAATTTTCCTGCCAAAACTTTCACACGTCTGCACGTGAGTACTCCACGTGCCTGGAAAACTGAAATTGGAATTTTTAAATTGCACGCAGACAGGGAATATCCCCCTAAAAATTTCGGCCTTCCAGCTTTTTTCGAGTTAGTGATTTTTCTGCAGAAACTTTCATATGTCCTTACGTGAGTATCACGCATAGCTTGGGGCTGAATCTGAAATATTCGACTTCTTGAATAGGGAACATTCCCTCGAAATTTCAACTTTCTAGCTGTCCTGATATCCGAGTTAGCAATTTTTTCGCTGAAACTTTCATGTGGCCTTACTTGAGTACCACGGGGTTGAATTTAAAATCTTTAGCTAGTAGCTGCACAGGAAATACCCTTATAAAGTTTCAGTTCCTTAGCTCGCGTAGTTCCCGAGATCGCTTTTCCGCCAGAAAGTCTGCATGTTTTTTTAAAGCTTCCGTACGCGGCACCCGGGTGCCTGCCGGGGTGAAATTAAAACAGCAGGGTCGCGCATAGTATGGGCACATACTCCCAAAGTTTCAGCCTTCTAGCTTTTCTGGTTCTCGAGTTGAAAGTGGATGACAAAAAGTGCGAACACACACACACAGCCTCTTCCCAAATATGGATTTTTGCAATTTGTATAAATGCAAAAACGCGTAAAAACTCTTTCCACATTTGTTCTTAGTGAGGAG